TTGATTGCAAGAAATTTTACTAAGAGATAATTTTAATCATCCAATATATATAGATGAAAATGATAGTTTAGATAGATCAACACACATTTTTGACAAATAACTAATTTAATTAATTTTTCAAACATATCCTTTGAAAAGTCAAAAGGCCAAGTTTGAAAAACTGACTTTGAGTAAGGGGGAGTTTGGCATCTCATATAAGCACTTAAAAAAACGGGGGAGAAAAGACATTAAGATATCCTCAAAAATGCTAAAAGATAAATTAGAGTTGGTGAATTTCAAAATCCTAAATTAGATCCCTTGTACTATTTTGAAATTTTAAAATACTGTTAAATGACAACGTAGCGTTTACTTTCAGTTACTCCTTTCATATAACTATTGACTATTCTAATTTTACTATTGATTACTTTTTTCTTCAAACTTTTGATAACTACTTTTGTATAACTATTGACTACACAAAGACAGTAAATGACTGAATTAAAAGTAGTTACCAGATCTCCAACAACACTTAATATATTTTTTGAATTTTTAAAATAAAAGTAGTCAATAGGTAAACAAAAGTAGTCACCAAATTTTTTAAAAATGAAAATAGTTAATAACAATAGTAGAGTAGCCAGTAGCTAAATAAAAGTGTCATCGGCGTTTTAAAAACAAATATAATCCATAGCTAAAAAAGTAATCAATACATAAAAAAGAATAGCACTGGAGCTCCGGCAGCTAGCCCTTGGCAGGGTTGTTGGTGGTCAGAAACCGGCCAGCTAAAAGTGCTAAGGTGACAATATTTAAAAAAAAAAGAAAAAAATAGCAAAGGGCATTTGCATAATTTTGGTAGACTTGAAAGTTCTAAAATAATACAAGGGGTTTGAATTGGAATTATGAAATTCACCCATATTGATTTGTCATTTAACAATTTTCAAGGTATTTTATTGTCTTTTTTCCTTAAAAAAATGCTTTGACGTAGGTCAAGACAAGTTTTCTAACATATTTATCCTGAACTCTACAAAATTACTTTTAAAAAAGTTAATCCAAATAGCGCAATGTGGTAAAGATGTAATAAATGTTCCATATATTGCCTTATTAAAAGACAAAAAAAAAAAAAAAAAACGTATCCGAGTACCTTGTACAATGGACAGGAGGGAGTATATCATAATAATATATGAATGTTAATGACATAAAGAAGAAAGACATTATTCTTCATAAGTATAAAGGTTAAATGACTATATATTTATGTTATGTACTAAACACTCCATCAGGTAAATGAGAAGCATTTCTCAATTTCCCTATAAAACTCTCCTTTTCATTAGCTTTCTGATCTGTACATATTATAAACTTGAAAAAAAAAAAAAAAAAGATGATATGGAAGACTCTGGCGTGTTCAGGTTCGACATTAGCGGTGCTTTCCTTGATGAGACAACACAAACTTTCAACACAGCATATTGTGGTAATCAGACTGAAGATGACGATGGAGCCACAAGATTCACATCAGTTGCACAACAGTTGCTGATGAATCTTCAAACAGTAACACCAAATATCAGAGGATCTTCTGCAGCCATGAAGATGACAGTGTCTAACGTTGGTCCAACTATTTATGCCTTTGCCCAATGTATTGAAACCATATCACAAAATGAGTGCCTCAGTTGCTTGAATGCTGGATACAACAATATAAAGACTTGTCTTTCCTACTCAGATGGTAGGGCTTTTGCCGATGGGTGTTTCATGAGATACTCCACAACTTCCTTTTTTCCTGATAACCAGACTATTGATATCGTACCTGCCTTCAAACAAGGTAAGGCTTCATTTAGATTCTTTGTCACCAGTTTATAAGTCCGATAAATTAGTTTGGAAAAAAATTATGCATGATAAATAGATATGTAAAATGGATTAAAGCATTATATTTATGATCAAAATCCACTCTCCAACTAATTCCTACATTTAGGATATACAGGAGGAGTAAATTTTCAATTTGAAAATTTATATGAATCCTTAGTTTGAATGTTTATTTAGGTTATATAGAATGATTTGATCAAGTATTATTATTGACATTTTAATTTTATACTTTAGAGCATGATACGTTTCAAAATAACTTGGTATTATTTGAAATTACATGTACATATATTCACTCATATATGTGTACATTTGTATTTGTACAAATCTTTGTTCGTAGGTTCAAGTAACAAGGGGGCCATTGCTGCTGGAGTTGTTTCAGGTGCTGCTCTTGCTTTGCTCCTCGTTGCATTATTTGCTTGGATGAGACGAACTAAAAGCCCAAAGAGGGTTCCTAGAGGTAAACAAATTAAAAATTACGAGGCTACTATTTTATCAATTTGGAAAATGAACAAAATCTTCAACTGCTAGTTATTTTAATTTATGAACAAAAGGTTTGATTTTTGTTTTCCATGGCAGGAGAGATACCTGGAGCGAGTAAGTTGAAAGGCTCAATAACTTTTAGTTATAAGGATTTAAAGTCTGCAACTAAGAATTTTAGTGACGAAAATAAAATAGGAGAAGGTGGATTTGGTGTTGTATACAAGGTACAACTTTATTATGAGTTTCAATGTAAGGATATCTTTAAGCGTGGTTTATATATTATTTTTGAAAGATAGTCTGATAACAATCTCATGTTTAAAATTCTCAATTATGATTAGGGCATTTTGGGGAATGGGAAAGTAGTTGCAGTAAAGAAATTAGCTTTACGAGCCTCCAATAGGATCGATGAAGATTTTGAGAGTGAAGTGATGCTGATAAGTAATGTTCATCATCGAAATCTTGTTCGACTTTTGGGATCTTGTAGCAAAGGTCACGATAGAATCCTTGTTTACGAATACATGAAAAACAACAGTCTTGACAGATTCTTATTTGGTATGTTATTTCAATTACCAAAGCTTATGCACACTATCTTAAGCATTATGAGATGTGGACATATTTTCAACATGACAACATTTCATTCACTCGTTAGGAAAAATGTGCTCATATGTCATGGTTTCATTAGATAATTTGATTGGAACATAGATATTGGAAGGACATTGTTATGTTTCGCCCTTCGTTCTTTTTTCTCACCTTTCAAATTTTGGAAACTTGGGAAATAGGTGAAAGGAAAGGTTCTCTCAATTGGAAGCAACGATATGAAGTGATTTTAGGAATAGCAAGAGGCTTGACTTATCTTCATGAGGAATTTCATATTCGCATTATTCATAGAGATATAAAGACAAATAACATTCTGTTAGATGATGATCTACAACCACGAATTGCTGATTTTGGGTTGGCAAGGCTTATACCTGAGAATAGAACTCATCTTAGTACAAAATTTGCAGGAACATTGTAAGTTGATTGAAATAACTACTTTGCTCCAGTTAATTTTCAATTCTATTAGTCTTATTCCAGTAAATGGATTGTTAAAGGTATTAATGAAATCTATACATTAGTCTATTAAAAAATCCTATGACATGGACAATACATGATTATGCAAGAAGGAATTCATACTTATGTTGAAGATGATGATGACACAATACTTGATATTCCACGTCTATTTTGGATTTTGTAGCATCACAATAATTATGTGTTTTAGTTTGAGCTATTATTCTAATTAACTACATCATAAATAATATATGATTGACAGAGGATACACTGCACCAGAGTATGCAATTCATGGACAACTATCTGAAAAGGCTGATATTTATAGTTATGGTATTGTTGTCTTAGAAATCATTAGCGGCCAAAAAAGCAATGAATTGAAAGTTGATGGTGATGCTGAAGGCGAATTCCTCCTCCAAAAAGTGAGAAAATTCACATGCCTATTTGAAAAAGCTTTTCTTTATTTTGAAAAAAAAAAAACTTAGATGTTGGATTTTTTAACAGCACATCTAAAATTCTTTCGAAAAAGCTTACTTTATGAGAGAAAATAATCTTATGATAAATGCTTATTTCGTTTCACTTTCATCCTACTTGATAGGCTTGGAAACTTTATGAGAGAGGCATGCATTTAGAGTTGGTGGACAATGCCTTAGACAGTAATGATTATGATGCAGAAGAAGTGAAGAAAATTATAGAAATTGGTTTGCTATGCACTCAAGCATCTGCAGAAATAAGACCGGCAATATCTGAAATAGTGGTTTTGCTTCAGAACAAGGGTTTATTAGAGAATATGAGGCCGACTATGCCTATCTTGATTGAACCTAATTAGAGCTTCATGGAATACACCTCCATCCCTACTGCTTCCGTTACATCAAATGATATTGCTTTTACTTTTTAATACCATCAACAAGATAATTGTACTTTACAAGAATGTGCTTTTCTAAATGGCTGATGAGAGTAGTCTTAGTCGCATCAGCTACCAACTAGTTCTAGATCCAACTATAAATACAATATAGTGTAAATCATTCTCTTAGGGATCAGTTTTAGAATTGTAATTGCAAAGGGGACATAGTTATTTATATGCAAATACAGTACAGCTACTCTAGAATGATGCAAGCATACTCTAAATGCAATTTTGTTATGATTATGCACCTAAGTAAACTAATGCAGACTACAGCTATATGCTTAATGCACATAGGGATGTGATCCCAAATGTAGGACCTGGCTTAGGTTCCCGGCAATGGATGGGCACAAAAAATAATTGGGACCAACTTATGGAACGTACTGAGAGGGCGGTTCTTCTCCCCGCCCCCCCCCCGGGGGTACTGTTAAGTGGAAGACGGAAAAGCATGACATGTTCTCTCTCAGGTTTGCCTACAATATGTGAAGAAAGCTTATGAAGCCTTGTTTAGTAGATAATGTTTTTCTCCGCAAATCTCTGGGAATGGTGGACAATGGGAAGACTGGCTGTGGAGGCACACTGAGATTACATGGGAAAGTAGTTATATACTTTTATGCTTAGTTTTTTAATGGGACTAAGGCGTGGATGGGATGGACTTGATAGATGATTCTACAGATTCTACTTCGTTGACCCAACAAAGTGAGACAAGAGAGACAAACTCAAAAGAGATATAATTTAAATGATTAATTAAATTATTATCTCTTATCTTAAATATAAAAACCAGTTTGTTGTGTAAATTAGCTCTTATATTTAGAATCAGATGTTGTATCTAAAGCTTGAATTATATGGTATTATGTTAGTTCTCAATAATGGTAAAATTAAAATTTTTATTTTAAAAGTAACATCAAGAATTAAATTTTTATGTTTAAATTCTGAAACAAATTTTTGCTGCTTTAGGAGGCTGTTGTTACCCAAGATTAGACATCCTCTCATGGAAATGAGTGTTCAAAAAATGGCTCGGGCGAGCGACATAAATTTGGTTCATGTAGCTCTTAAACTCCCGCAGTAATATAAATTAACCGGGAGCGATCTCAGAGTCAGCTACTGCTAGTTGATCTGAGTGAGTGCATGGTCCCCTTATAGCAACAGTAGAATATAGGTAAAACTTGGTGTTATTTGAAAAACCCAAATGATCAATTACGTTGGTATACTATCTCTGCCTGAAGACCTTTGCAGAAACTACTTTGCCGTAATCAAGTACCTATAATAGGGTGATTCTTTTGAATGTTCTGTATAACTCTGAAAATTATCTTCCTCATTTATTCTGCGTTTCCATATTTAAGGGGAACCCTTTTTTGGGTGGGTTTGATCACCATCCTTGCAGTTTCGTGCATGAAATTCCTCCATCAATATTTCAGACAAGACATGACATTTTCCTTCTCTGCTTCAATGCTATGTTCTGGTGATAATGTATATCAGCAAAAGATGAAGGCACCCAACTAGACTTGTTGAACAAGGATAGCAGTGTTACAACAGTATAGTCGTGGCAATCACAAACTACCCAAATTATATTGCACAATTCATGTTTCAATGTTTCATTGTACTGAAATCTTCAGTAATGAATGAAAGCGAATGCTTACTCCAGTTGTTTCCTTCTTAAATATTATTATTGTTATTTTCTGGGGGTTCAAAATCACATCGCCTTCCTGATGCAATAGAAGCGGAGACAGTAGCATTTGATAGAGATGAACTATTACTGAGCATCTCTTCTATTCCCCACATTAGAATCAACATAAACAGGCATAGCGGGTCGCTTGTGATCCATTAAGCCACCTTTGCTTTCGATCATATCAACAACTTCAAACATTGTTGGCCTTGCTGCAGGAGATGCTTGCGTGCAAAGCAATCCAATCTCTATGATTTTCTTTACTTCTTCTGCATCATACTCATTTAGATCTAAGGTTTCATCCACAAACTCCATGTGCATTCCTCTCTCGTACAGTTTCCAAGCCTGCCGAGGGGCATCAAAGTCATACAAGATAGAGGAAAAAAGATTGCGTGGTGTTGAGCAGTCAAAAACAATCGTTTGTCACGCTATATTGAAAATAATTTGATTAGTTATATCTGCATTTGTAATTTCTCCAAATAAAAACCTTTCCTTTGGTATATCGATTTTGAGAATTCACTTACTCTCTGAAGAAGGAATTCGCCTTGATCATCATTCTTTAATTCACCACTCTTCTGTCCACTTATAATTTCTAAGACTACAACACCATAGCAATAGGTGTCAACCTTCTCAGATAATTGTCCATGCATTACATACTCAGGTGCAGTGTATCCCCTATATAACAGAAGCAAAAGGATCAAAAATTACCATATGTAAGAGACGAGTCACAACAAGACATGGAAACTTACACTAACAATGATAAAAACAAATTTCAAATATTCGTGTGCAACTTAAAAGTGTTGTATCATGTTTCTAGTGAGTCATAAACATACACAAGTCTTCATGCTTTGTAGAAACAACTAAACATTTGAGAAGAGATCTAGTTGCTAAAGTAGTGTCACGTTTGATCAACAAATGACTTGTTACAATCATTTGCGTTAATATGATATATATTGAGTGCAGAAAATATGAATAGTTACATATGTTACTACTTACATTGTTCCTGCAAATTTTGTGTTCAGATGAGATTGGTCCCTTGGCAAAAGCCTTGCCAATCCAAAATCTGCAATTTTAGGCTGGAAATCAACATCCAAGAGGATGTTGCTGGGCTTTATATCTCTATGTATGATGCAAATGTGAAATCCCTCATGAAGATATGCCAAACCCCTTGCAGTGCCTAAAATTATACCATAACGTTGCTTCCAATTGAGAGAACCTTTATTGTCACCTATTTCCAGCACTTTAGATAGTAAGAGAGAGGGGACCAAAAAAAACATAAAAATAGAGGAAGCAGATGAATTTCAAGTACAAAGGAAATTTCTTCAAGTACTAAATTGAATATACCAAATAAGAACTGGCCAACATTGTTGTTCTTCATGTACTCATAGACAAGGAATCTCTCTTGGCCTTTACTGCAACATCCAAGAAGTCGAACAAGATTTCGATGATGAACATTACTTATTAGCTTCACTTCACTTTCAAAATCTTCATCCATCTTTTTGGATTGCTCTAGAGCCAATTTCTTTATGGCAATTACTTTTCCATTTTTCAGAGTACCCTGTTCAATGAAGAGATCACATTTCTAGACTATAGAGTGTGCTTGAGGGAAGTGCCATCCTTTTATTAAGAATTAGACACATTTTCCTGTGTATTTCATGGAATCTAAGAAATACATTGTACTTTCTATATATCTTTATACGAAAGTGTCTCTTGAAAAAAGATATGGACTGTAATAATACAAATGACTGTTTGCGTGTGAGTGTTTTTTTTTTTGGGGGGGGGGGGGGGGGGGGGGTTTTACCTTGTATACATCACCAAAACCTCCTTCTCCTAATTTATTCTCTTCACTGAAATTTTTTGTTGCAGACTTCAGATCTTTATACCTGTAGTTAACCGGGCCTTTCAACTCAGTTGCTCCCAAAATGTCAACTGCAAGAAAAACCACAGTCAGAAATCTCTCAATAAAGTATGAAGTAGTTAGGGGTTCATCCCTTTCAAATTAAAACCGTCACATCCCTTTGGCAGGAAAAAGTTAAAACTAGAGCATCACAATGAATCATTTCAAATTGAATAATAAAGATTTTTCTAGTTATCTTACCTCTATGAACTCTCTTGGACAATGATCGTCTATACAAAGCAAATAATGCAAGGAGAATCAAAATAAAAGATGCACCTCCAACGACCCCACCAATAATGGCCTTCTTGCTTGAATCTCCTACGAGTCACAATTGTTTGAAGTTAAATTGTACTATATTTGCTCATGTCAATTGTTTCTTGGTATGCAATGCACATAGTCATTCGGGAGTTTAAAGTTAAGAACTTTACCTTGTTTCAAGATGTGTTTGATATCAGTGGTCTGATTAGTGGCAAAAAATGCAGAGGTGGAGTATCTCATGAAGCAACCAGCATAAAAAATCTTAGCATTTGAGTTGGGAATACAAATCTGAAAATTTCTTAAGCCAGACTCCAAGCAATCTTGGCAGCCACTTTGAGTGACGGTCTCGAGACATTGAGCAAAGGCATAAATATTTGAACCATTACTTTTAGGTACTGGCGTTACAGCGGCTGCAAAGAAACCAGGTATTCTTGGTGTTGCTTCCACCAGATTCTTTAGCACTTGTTGCACAGTTGAAGCAAGTTCTGTGGAGCTTTTAGCCACAAGATTCCCACACATAATGTGGTTCCCACCGTCTGTGGACTGGTCGAAGAAAATACTGCTCTCATACCTTGAAAAACACACAAAAATATGCCATCTTTATGATTGTAAAAAATGTCACTGTTATGACCACATTAAGAGACATCGGTTACCGGAGATGTTAGTGATATGATTGTTTTATGGTGTTGCAAACTATGCAGTTGTCTCTACTGTGGAACACTTTTCAATTAGTTGAAGGATTTTATGTGTTTAGAATTAATATAGAGTATGAAGCAAAGCAAAGCAACTAAGGATTTTAAGCATAATGAGGACAAAACAGCAACAACAAAGTTGTCAATTCCATGATTCATCAACCCAAAATCATTGGAGCTCAAGGTTTTGTCCCATAGGTGAGCAACGGCCAAAAAAATCCGAACACACAAGCTTCTTCGTCATGCGCTTCCTGGTAGCAAATTTCTCTGTCACAAACCGGAACAACAAGAAATGCAGAACCAAAGATCGCATGGAACAATTAAAATACAGCAGGACTTCGTCGTCGTCGTCGTCGTCGTCGTCGCTCAGCATGATTTGAGGGAAATTTCAAAAAAAAATTCCGCAAAAGTTTCAGAGCAAGAGCAAGGGGGAAATTTCAGAGCATAAACACGAACAAAATTTATCGAAGAAGAAGAAAAATTCATCGCCGTCGTTGTGCATGCTCTGGTTAATCACTCCGTCATCCTCCTTCAGAGCAAGAACCAGATAGCCGAGAAGGCAGGAGGAAGAGCGGCGGTCGCCGAGACGGCGTTGGGCAAGCGACTGTGACGAGTGTGGCGGTGAAGTGGTGACATGCGACGGTGACTGGGAAGATAGATTGGGGGCAGTGCCGAGAACTCCCTGTAATCGGGCCCATTCGTCTTTGGAAAACAATATAATCAATAAAAAAGGTAAACATAGGTATCCTTT